TCGCCGATCATGGAGCAAAATGGAGCAAAACTCGGAGAACAAAATGAGCACGATCAAATTTCAGAATTTTCACTGGGGGGGGGGGGGGCTAGGAGAGATTCCTGGGAGCTCTGTAGGTCTCTCCTGGTAATGGAGCAAAAATCGCCGATAGTGGATCAAAACTCGGAGAAAAAATCTATTTCTACTAAGTCGACCAAGTTAAGTCGAAAAATGTCAACCATTTTAACACCTGTCAAAACCCTGCAAAACGGCAGCACTCATCTTTTCCAGTTTTCAATATTTTATGTTGTCATTTGACATTTTTCACTTATATCTAAATTCTAAATTCAAAAATCGAAAAAAAAAAAATGACAGAACTGTCAAAACCTGTTATTTGTTTTAGTAGAAAAAAATACTCTAATCTGGTCCTTTCTCGTTTTAAGGTAGTTTATTGTTGATAAAACATTGAACAAAGTTCATGCACGTCACATTTTGACAGCTATCATTTTTTTTCTTCAATTTTTGTATTCAGAATTAACATAAGTTAAAAATGTCAAATGACAACATAAAATATTGAAAACTGGAAAATATGAGTGCTGCCGTTTGGCAGGGTTTTGACAGGTGTTAAAACGGTTGACATTTTTCGACTTAACTTGGTCGACTTATTAGAAATAGATTTTTTGTTCATCAAAATCAGCCATAGGTACTCTGCTTTTGGATATCAGATTCCAATATTTGACAGCTAACCACGCCTCACCTGTCATATATACAGGGTTGTGCCCATTGTAAAAAATGTTGTTTATGGTATCCCCAATAACATATTTAAATTTCATCCAAATATCACGGGTAACCAATTTCCATTTTAATATTGCGGGGTCTTTACGACAAAAAAGCGACAAATGATTCACTTAATAAAACTTCTGTAGGAACATCAGGTGACGTTGGTAGTGCTAACTTATTGATATCAAGTTAGCACTACCAGGGTATTTGAGAAAAAAGAAAAACGCGACAATTTTTTTTTGCACGACAAATTTACGACAAAAAAGCGATAAATTAATCACCTGACGCCATTTTCCGGCGTGCATGTTGTATTGCTAACTTGATAGAGGTTGTACACTATAAATCCAAGGTGGTTTACCTGTCGAGAGCCGGTAATAGTGAAAATTTTGATTATTTCCGGCTCTTGAAGTCTTGAGTAGTTTCTATAAAGGGAATCAAGCTGAAAATAGTCCAAATATTGGATTTGAATAAAAGCATGGTTGCTAGATTTTTGATTTTTATAAAGTTGATCAAGAGTAAGGATTTTGGCTGATATTTTTAATGGTAATCAAGAGCCGGTGATAGTCAAAATTTTGATTATTACCGGCTCTTGAAGCTTTTATTAAGACAAATAGGCTGAAAATAGTCAAAAATTGGACTTGAAACGAAGTAATGTTGCAAGATTCTTGGTTTTTGTGAAGAATAAGGATCTTGGATGATGTTTTTAATAGCAACCAAAGAGCAGTTATAGTTCATATGTCGTTTATTACTGGCTTTTGATCTGTAATCGGTTTGAAGGTAATTGACTTTCGGTGATAGTCAAAATTTTTATTATTACCGGCTTTATACAGGGTGTCACGAAAGGTTTGTTACAAACTTCTAGGGATGGTAGATCTCGTAAAAATAAAACTTTTTTCTTAATAAACATGTGTCCGGAAATGCTTCGTTTTCCAGATATACAGGGTGGTCCAAATTTGAGCCTCATCATTGGGATCTTGGTAATCGTAAGAGATACAGACGGTCGGTTAAATTATGGCAAAGTTGCGCAATTTTATGACCAATAGAATACCGTTTTGAAACTAGAAAGATTCCGAATACTTCCGGAGATATTCGGAAAAAAACAAAATTTTGTAAAATCGTTTTTATTTTTTCCCGGGCTTATTTGAAAAGCAATTTTAAAATAAATGTCACTTCATCGGTGTCACTTTTTCTCCTTTAGAAGATGGTGCTACTAAATTTAAAATTCGACGTTTCGTTCTCAGGCGGCCATCCTCAACTTCCTTTTTTTAAATACGGACCTGGATTTTTTATTTGCGATTTTGTCATCTTTGCGCATCCTAAAACCGATACTGTTTATAATTTTTCAATAAAAAATTTGGGCCACCCTGTATATCTGGAAAACGAAGCATTTCCGGACACATGTTTATTAAGAAAAAAGTTTTATTTTTACGAGATCTACCATCCCTAGAAGTTTGTAACAAACCTTTCGTGACACCCTGTATAAAGAGAATCAAGCTGAAAATAGTCTAAATATTGGACTTGAATAAAAGCATGGTTGCAGGATTCTTGATTATTGTAAAGTTGATCAAGAGTAAGGTTGATATTTTTAATGATAATCATGATCTGGTGATAGTCATAATTTTGATTATTACCGGATTTTGAAGCCTTAATGGATAGTTTTTATAAAAACAATCGAGCTGAAGTAGGTATAAGGATCTTCCTTAAATGATATCACTGGCTCGTGATTTCTTCTTAATTGCTCTGAAGGCAATTGAGTGCCGGTGATAGTGAAAATTTTCATTATTATCGGCTCTCGAAGTGTTGGCTAGTATCATTTATCAGTCCCTTATAATTGACAACAAGACGCCAATTCTAATTCTAATTTTTCTAATGGAAAACCAGTGTTGTGATAAATAAATATTAATATTTTACATATTTACTCGGCATTAAAATCTTTTTAAAAAAAAGTTAAACAATAATAATTTTCGTCTCAACAAGCAATTTTGAGGGTTTACTTTCAGTCTGGTCGTGACTGGACCATCACAAAAATGATTATTTTGCTTTGTATATATATTTATTGAATTTTTGCCACAGGTAAATAAAAAACTGATCCTTATTGTTAATTAATTTGCAAACAGTGGTTTATATTTGTTGTTTTAGATGTAAAAATATACCTACTCCAGACCAAGCTCCGCATAATCGTGTGATTTTGCCTCAATTGTTGACCACAGTCTTGGAGCTTACGTGTCTGGAGAAGTCACGACAATGCTCATCTACTGTATCTTGAAAGTAGTATAATTTGGTTTCTCCATGTACGCTGGATTACTAGATTAATAGCAGTTTGGATACAGCGGTAATGTGGTATCGAGTATATATATGCACTTAGAACTTGCATTTTTGGTAAGGGATATAAGTGCCTATCGATAAATAATTGCCTAATAATAATAATAATTTTTTTAGCTATTATCTTTTTGAGTGCAATATTATTGCTACTCATCTCATAATATAAGCATAGCATATTTAAACCGATTTTCCAGTGATAATAATTCTCCATAGTTGATTTCTATACACTGTCCAAACATGAGTATTTTAATTTGGCTTTTCTCCGTGTTTTTTTTCATTCATTCTGAATCACGTAAGTGCAACAATTTCATTACAAAGCAGACTAATTTTGTTTTCAGGTATTTTAGATTTATCCAGACAAGAAAATGTCACTATCAGTGACGTTGATATAAACGATTTGTTTGTACAAATTTATACTAGAGCAAATCCGATTGGTGATAGAGTCAATTTGACCGATGGCAGCAATGTTGCCAGCCTCAGCTCATTCGATATAAATCTTGAAACATTTATCTATATTCATGGATGGGAAGACACAATAAGTTTACCTGCGTCAACTTTGATTAAAAACTCATTGCTAGTTGCCACTGATGCAAACGTTCTTTTATTAAGTTGGGACAAATGTGCCGATAATGCTAATTATGCAGTCAGCTGGGGATGTGTTGGAGGTTTGTACCTACTATCACTATATAGATAATTTTTAAGTGAATTTTATATTCAGGTACAGGAAGTTTTTTGGGAGAATTTTTGAAAGCCATACGAAAATCTTATGGTTACTCACTCGACAATGTTACCATAATAGGTCACAGTCTTGGAGCTCACATTGCAGGATTCACAGGCAAAAACACTGGTGCAGCTGTGGGTGTTATTGTAGGCCTCGATCCTGCAAGTCCATTATTCTTCGAAGGTAATTTTAATTGCATCAGGCCAATTTGATTGACTTAATATCCATTTACAGGAGACAAAAATCACAGGCTAAACGAAAGAGATGCCAAATATGTCCAAGCCATTCACACTTGTGCCACAGGAGTTGTAGGGGTAACATACAGCGTGGGAATTTCCGATTTTTGGCCAAACGGTGGTTCGCATCAGCCCGGTTGCGGTTTAGATGTGTTTAAATGTCCCCATTTAAGAGCCATTGATTATTATGCAGAATCGCTTTTGTCCGATGGTTTTGTTGGTCAGAATTGCAACAGTTACCTGGATTATGAACTTGGGAGGTGTGGTGATGCGACTAAAAGTGTTATGGGAGGATTAAATGTTAATAAGGAGTAAGCAACAATTTGGTATTTATATTTTTTATGTCTTCTGTTTTTAGGGCAAATGGTAGCTACTATTTGAATACCAACGACAAACCGCCATATGCTAAAGGAGACGTGTGATTTGTGAAATTATAAATATTGTAACAAATAATTTATTTAAGTGTAAATTCTGTAAAAAATGACACAATTATTTATTTTTTTTTAATTAGAACTTTATCCCTAGACAAAAAGGAATGTGGAGGAAAATTAGGTAGTCCTCTTCACGTATCCGTATTTAATTAACTTTTTTATGTTTTTAGCGCCGGGCATAAGAATTTATTTAAAAGGCGTAACACCCGATTTGTAGGTACCTCCCAAGAAGATTTAATTGAAAGTAATTTTTCAAACCCAGCTATACAAAAAAAAAAATTGACGTTTCTTGTATTTGTTTTAAGAAAACAAAAAAAACGAACATAATAATCCAAGGGTACAAGTCCAAATTAGATTTTCAATTAGCTTAATTCTCTGAGCGGGGAGAGTATAGACATAGAGTTGTATTAATAACGGACATAATTCGATAAAGCAACTAGGTACACCTTTTCCAATTGTAATTCAAAAAGCGGAAAATGTATTTGAGAAAGACAAATTAAATTTCAGAAAATGAAAATTGTAACTCAGAATAGGAAGGTATTATTTAGAATATGGAATTTGAAATTCAGAAAAGGAACATAATATTGAGAAATGGGAATATGTAATTCAAAATAGTAATATGTTATTTAGAAAGGAGAAATTTAATTCCAGAAAATGTAAAGTGTAATTCAGATATGAAATTTTGAAAATCGGAAATAGGAAAATGTAATTCAGAATTGGTAACATGTAATTCAGAATTATGAAATATCTATGAGTGTGTTTTTTTTTTTTAAATTTTTAATCTTGTGTCGCTAAACACGGGATTGCTATCCCCGTTTATTAATTTATCGTCAGTAGAGTTTTAGATAGAAATGTTCTTTGCGAATCCAAATTAAAAAATTGTATTCATACAAATTAAGTTTTTATTTAGAAGGTAAATAACTATAGGTAGGTACCTAAGCACATAATTACATTTTTATGAAAAATGTTAAAATTACCATACTTCTAAAAAAAATACCAAAAAGTAAGTTGATAACTTAATTTCCTTATATGCAATTCAAAATTTCAGTCACTGACCAACTGGAATATCCCCTATGTAATGCTAGCACCGCGACATGGAATTTGGTTGAGTGTTGGGTGGTTCTTTCACTCTCTGTACCTGTACTCTGTATCTTTGTACAGGGTATTTGATTATATTTGGACCCATACCTACAGCCTTTATTATTCAATATAGAAGAAAATTTTAAATACAAAACTTGACAGTTTTTTTCTATATTTTCTTTTAACGGTATCAGAAAAAAACAAAAACGCATCGGAAAATGGAGAAAGGTAGGCAACTTCGATTTTTTTCAATGGAACATCCTGTATATTAGCGATAAAATGAAAGATCTTTTCTTCCTGATTCCAAATATATATAGATTGATCAAATTTGGGTGAGCCGTTTTTGATATATCTTAGCTCAAATTATACCTAAATAAAATCCAAAGAAATTTTATAAAGATTTGAATGTCTTGACATCTTTATGAAATTTCTTTCCAAATTATTTATAATTTAAGCTAAAATATGTCAAAAATGGCTCACTTAAATGTGATCATCATATATATATATATATATACACTGTGGGCCGAAATAAAGGAGTACATTTTTTAATTGAAAATATTTTTTTTTGGTTTTTGGGCGATTTAATTTCTTTTTGCAGGGCTTATAACCTAACATGTCCTCAACATGACTGTAAACTTGAAAGCAAAAATAATGTACAGGGTCGGACTTATAAAAAAAATTATATAACAGTGCATTTGAGCTCGTTGCAAATGAAAACTGTCTTAGCTAAAATTGTACTAATATGCTTTTTGGGTAGATAAACTATCCAGAACACTTAAATGTTATTTAATTAAAAAAAATGATATTTCGCGAATCCGGTAATTTCGGAAAATTTCCTTTTTACTGAAGTGTTTTGGATAGTTTATCTACCGAAAAAGCATATTAGTGCAATTTTAGCTAAGACAATTTTCATTTGCAACGAGCTCAAATGCACTGTTATATAATTTTTTTTATAAGTCCGACCCTGTACATTATTTTTGCTTTCAAGTTTACAATCATGTTGAGGATATGTTAGGTTATTAGCCCTGCAAAAAGAAGTTAAATCGCCCAAAAACCAAAAAAAAATATTTTTAATTAAAAAATGTACTCCTTTATTTCGGTCCACAGTGTATATATTTGGAATCAGGAAGAAAATATATTTCATTTTATCGCAAAATATACAGGGTGTTCCATTAAAAAAAGTCGAAATTATCTACGTTTCTCCATTTTCCAATGCGAATTTGTTTTTTCTGATATTGTTAAAAGAAAATATAGGTAGAAAAAAACTGTCAAATTTTGTATTTAAATTTTTTTTCTATCTTCAATAGTAGGTTGTAGGTATGAAACCAAATATAATCAAATACCCTGTAGTACATACCTACCTTATGATTTTTTTGGAAAACTTTGAAAAGTCATAACTTTTTTTCTATTATAGATAGCTGAATCTTTCACTGAATTTTATTCCTACCAAAGGACTACAATCCCTAAAAATTTCAGCTCATTTGCACTTAAAGTTCCTGAGATAAAATCGTGTTAAGCAATTGGGATGATTTATCAATTTTTCAATTTTTCTGAGTGCCTTTTTCCATAGATTTCGGCTTCAAATCTGAGAATAATTTAGTTTATGGAGTTCAGAATATCACAAGGAACCATTAGGACACAAAATCTCGACAAAAAAAAATTTGAAATTTCATTGTTTTAGTAAGAAGGTACCTACCTTATGATTTTTTTGGAAAAATTTGAAAGGTAATAACTTTTTTTCCATTATAGATAGCAAGCTGAATCTTTCACTGAATTTTATCCCTTCCAAAGGACTATAATCCCTGAAAATTTCAGCTCATTTGCACTTATAGTTCCTGAGATAAAATCGTGTTAAGCAATTGGGGTGATTTATCAATTTTTCAATTTTTCTGAGTGCCTTTTTCCATAGATTTCGGCTTCAAATCTGAGAATAATTTAGTTTATGGAGTTCAGAATATCACAAGGAACCATTAGGACACAAAATCTCGACAAAAAAAAATTTGAAATTTCATCGTTTTAGTAAGAAGGTACCTACCTTATGATTTTTTTGGAAAACTTTGAAAGGTCACAATTTTTTTTCCATTATAGATAGAAAGCTGAATTTTTCACTGAATTTTATTCCTTTCAAAGGACTACAATTCCTGAAATTTTCAGCTCATTTGCACTTATAGTTTCTGAGATAAAATCGTGTTAAGCAATTGGGGTGATTTACCAATTTTTCAATTTTTCTGAGTGCCTTTTTCCATAGATTTCGGCTTCAAATCTGAGAATAATTTAGTTTATGGAGTTCAGAATATCACAAGGAACCATTAGGACACAAAATCTCGACAAAAAAAAATTTTGAAATTTCATCGTTTCAGTAAGAAGGTACCTACCTTATGATTTTTTTGGAAAAATTTGAAAGGTTATAACTTTTTTTCCATTATAGATAGCAAGCTGAATCTTTCACTGTATTTTATCCCTTCCAAAGGACTATAATCCCTGAAAATTTCAGCTCATTTGCACTTGAAGTTCCTGAGATAAAATCGTGTTAAGCAATTGGGGTGATTTACCAATTTTTCAATTTTTCTGAGTGCCTTTTTTCATAGATTTCGGCTTCAAATCTGAGAATAATTTAGTTTATGGAGTTCAGGGTATCACGAGGAACCATTAGGACACAAAATCTCGACAAAAAAAAATTTTGAAATTTCATCGTTTCAGTAAGAAGGTACCTACCTTATGATTTTTTTGGAAAACTTTGAAAGGTCACAATTTTTTTTCCATTATAGATAGAAAGCTGAATTTTTCACTGAATTTTATTCCTTTCAAAGGACTACAATTCCTGAAATTTACAGCTCATTTGCACTTATAGTTTCTGAGATAAAATCGTGTTAAGCAATTGGGGTGATTTACCAATTTTTCAATTTTTCTGAGTGCCTTTTTTCATAGATTTCGGCTTCAAATCTGAGAATAATTTAGTTTATGGAGTTCAGGGTATCACGAGGAACCATTAGGACACAAAATCTCGACAAAAAAAAATTTTGAAATTTCATCGTTTCAGTAAGAAGGTACCTACCTTATGATTTTTTTGGAAAACTTTGAAAGGTCACAATTTTTTTTCCATTATAGATAGAAAGCTGAATTTTTCACTGAATTTTATTCCTTTCAAAGGACTACAATTCCTGAAATTTTCAGCTCATTTGCACTTATAGTTTCTGAGATAAAATCGTATTAAGCAATTGGGGTGATTTATCAATTTTTCAATTTTTCTGAGTGCCTTTTTCCATAGATTTCGGCTTCAAATCTGAGAATAATTTAGTTTATGGAGTTCAGAATATCACAAGGAACCATTAGGACACAAAATCTCGACAAAAAAAAATTTGAAATTTCATCGTTTTAGTAAGAAGGTACCTACCTTATGATTTTTTTGGAAAAATTTGAAAGGTTATAACTTTTTTTCCATTATAGATAGCAAGCTGAATCTTTCACTGTATTTTATCCCTTCCAAAGGACTATAATCCCTGAAAATTTCAGCTCATTTGCACTTATAGTTCCTGAGATAAAATCGTGTTAAGCAATTGGGGTGATTTATCAATTTTTCAATTTTTCTGAGTGCCTTTTTCCATAGATTTCGGCTTCAAATCTGAGAATAATTTAGTTTATGGAGTTCAGAATATCACAAGGAACCATTAGGACACAAAATCTCGACAAAAAAAAATTTGAAATTTCATCGTTTTAGTAAGAAGGTACCTACCTTATGATTTTTTTGGAAAACTTTGAAAGGTCACAATTTTTTTTCCATTATAGATAGAAAGCTGAATTTTTCACTGAATTTTATTCCTTTCAAAGGACTACAATTCCTGAAATTTTCAGCTCATTTGCACTTATAGTTTCTGAGATAAAATCGTGTTAAGCAATTGGGGTGATTTACCAATTTTTCAATTTTTCTGAGTGCCTTTTTCCATAGATTTCGGCTTCAAATCTGAGAATAATTTAGTTTATGGAGTTCAGAATATCACAAGGAACCATTAGGACACAAAATCTCGACAAAAAAAAATTTTGAAATTTCATCGTTTCAGTAAGAAGGTACCTACCTTATGATTTTTTTGGAAAAATTTGAAAGGTTATAACTTTTTTTCCATTATAGATAGCAAGCTGAATCTTTCACTGTATTTTATCCCTTCCAAAGGACTATAATCCCTGAAAATTTCAGCTCATTTGCACTTGAAGTTCCTGAGATAAAATCGTGTTAAGCAATTGGGGTGATTTACCAATTTTTCAATTTTTCTGAGTGCCTTTTTTCATAGATTTCGGCTTCAAATCTGAGAATAATTTAGTTTATGGAGTTCAGGGTATCACGAGGAACCATTAGGACACAAAATCTCGACAAAAAAAAATTTTGAAATTTCATCGTTTCAGTAAGAAGGTACCTACCTTATGATTTTTTTGGAAAACTTTGAAAGGTCACAATTTTTTTTCCATTATAGATAGAAAGCTGAATTTTTCACTGAATTTTATTCCTTTCAAAGGACTACAATTCCTGAAATTTTCAGCTCATTTGCACTTATAGTTTCTGAGATAAAATCGTATTAAGCAATTGGGGTGATTTATCAATTTTTCAATTTTTCTGAGTGCCTTTTTCCATAGATTTCGGCTTCAAATCTGAGAATAATTTAGTTTATGGAGTTCAGAATATCACAAGGAACCATTAGGACACAAAATCTCGACAAAAAAAAATTTGAAATTTCATCGTTTTAGTAAGAAGGTACCTACCTTATGATTTTTTTGGAAAAATTTGAAAGGTTATAACTTTTTTTCCATTATAGATAGCAAGCTGAATCTTTCACTGTATTTTATCCCTTCCAAAGGACTATAATCCCTGAAAATTTCAGCTCATTTGCACTTGAAGTTCCTGAGATAAAATCGTGTTAAGCAATTGGGGTGATTTACCAATTTTTCAATTTTTCTGAGTGCCTTTTTTCATAGATTTCGGCTTCAAATCTGAGAATAATTTAGTTTATGGAGTTCAGGGTATCACGAGGAACCATTAGGACACAAAATCTCGACAAAAAAAAATTTTGAAATTTCATCGTTTCAGTAAGAAGGTACCTACCTTATGATTTTTTTGGAAAACTTTGAAAGGTCACAATTTTTTTTCCATTATAGATAGAAAGCTGAATTTTTCACTGAATTTTATTCCTTTCAAAGGACTACAATTCCTGAAATTTACAGCTCATTTGCACTTATAGTTTCTGAGATAAAATCGTGTTAAGCAATTGGGGTGATTTACCAATTTTTCAATTTTTCTGAGTGCCTTTTTTCATAGATTTCGGCTTCAAATCTGAGAATAATTTAGTTTATGGAGTTCAGGGTATCACGAGGAACCATTAGGACACAAAATCTCGACAAAAAAAAATTTTGAAATTTCATCGTTTCAGTAAGAAGGTACCTACCTTATGATTTTTTTGGAAAACTTTGAAAGGTCACAATTTTTTTTCCATTATAGATAGAAAGCTGAATTTTTCACTGAATTTTATTCCTTTCAAAGGACTACAATTCCTGAAATTTTCAGCTCATTTGCACTTATAGTTTCTGAGATAAAATCGTGTTAAGCAATTGGGGTGATTTACCAATTTTTCAATTTTTCTGAGTGCCTTTTTCCATAGATTTCGGCTTCAAATCTGAGAATAATTTAGTTTATGGAGTTCAGAATATCACAAGGAACCATTAGGACACAAAATCTCGACAAAAAAAAATTTTGAAATTTCATCGTTTCAGTAAGAAGGTACCTACCTTATGATTTTTTTGGAAAAATTTGAAAGGTTATAACTTTTTTTCCATTATAGATAGCAAGCTGAATCTTTCACTGTATTTTATCCCTTCCAAAGGACTATAATCCCTGAAAATTTCAGCTCATTTGCACTTGAAGTTC